GCGTGGGGGCCAGCCACAGCTGGATGACTATTTCCCATACTGCAGGTCACTTACCCTGCAAGATGTACCTAGAAGGACTCAGGAGCCATTCAGGAAGACGATCGGCAGAGACAGGAACGAGATGCCAAACCGAAGACGGTGAGCCAGAAGAATGAAAGTGGCGAGCACCCACAGAAGCATCACTAGCAAAGAGGGTATCGGGAGCCCCGAGTGTTACAGCTCTGTGGTGTCGGGCTTTTTGAGCCCCATGTTGGGTGCCAGCTGCAGTCACCGCCAGCGGTGTCCACTCCTCCGTTCTCATGGGTGCCGCTCCTTTGTTCTCACGGGCGTCGAGGCTGTTCCTCCACTCGCCCTGGGCTGAGGCCGCTCTTCTGCTCGCCCGGTGCTGAGGCAGTTCTTCCGCTTGCCCTGTGTTGCCTCCTGTTGTTGCCACTTCTGCCCAGTCCCGTACCCCAGGGCTGGTGAGGAGACTGTGTCAGCGGTGCTGCATTCAGACACAGGAGACCAGGTTCAGTGACACAGGTCTGGTTTATTGCAGGAAGGCACAGCTTATATAGGGGTAGTCATCCAATCACAACACAGCAAGTAGGATACCTTATTAACATAACAGGTTTAGCATCCTATCACAGTACAGCAAGTAGGATACCTTATTAGCATAACAGACTTAGCGTCCTATTAGCATAACAGACTTAACGTTCTATCACAGAATAGCGGGTAGGATGCCTCATTAGTGTACTGGGTTTCAGATTACAGAGCCTGGATTCCTGGAAACCACGTGACCCTGACTGTTGCAATATCTAAGTGTTGCAATTAGGATTCCAAGGGTGGTGATTAGGGAGTGATGAGCTCTAGGCATCCGTCTCATGATCTGCCAATGGGAGCAAATGTCACAAGGCGTGCCTTGTGGCTCCAGTGGTCGGGTTGTTGCCTTGGGCCTGCTGTATGGCTGTCAATAAGACTTTCACCCTAGGCTCAAGCTTGTCTCCCACAGTTACGGACAGTTGTTAGCTGCCATGTGGGTGCTGGGTTTCGAACCCAGGTCTTCTGCAAGAATAACCAGTGTTCTTAACCACTGAGCCATCTCTCCAGCCCCTACTTTAATTTCTTAAAGTATAGGTTGTATAATGTTATTTTTCACTTAATTGTGTGTTTTCTTCTAATTTGTACCATTATTTTAGTAAAAAGATAGTGGTTTTGATTTAAGCCTTCTTAGTTTATTCAGACTTGTTTTGTGGTCTGCGTGATCTGCCTTGGAGAATTTTCTGTGTCCTTAATAATGTGAGTTATTGCTTTTGGATGGAACATTCTTACATGTCTTACATCTCTTTGATCTGAAAAATAATTCAAGTCCAACATTTTCTTTTCAGTTTTCTGTCTGGAAGATGTGTCCATTGTTGAAAGTGGTGTAGTGAAGCCTCCTGTTATTTCATTGTAGTATATCTCTTCCTTTACATCCTATAAGATTTGTTTGATCTATTTAAGTTCTCCAATATTAGATGCATGCATATATGTTTCCAATTATTATATCCTTGATGAATTGACCATTTAATCATTACGTAATGATCCTTTTAGTCACTACATTTTTGACCTAAAATGTCTTTAAATTGGTGTAAGTATAGCTAGCCTGCTTTGTTTTGGTTCCTGTTTTAAACTCAATATTCATTTCTGTCTTTTCATTTTAGTATGTGTGCATACATCCTAAAAGATTGAAACAAGTCTCTTACAGGCATATATTTAGTTCATGGTTTTTATCGTTTCTTAATTTATTTGATCATTCTGTGGTTTTTTTAAAAATATTTTATTTATTTTTATTTTATATGTATGAGTATATTACTGCATGTATGTGAGTGCACCTGTGTCATGCAATGACGTGGAGATCAGAAGAGGGCGTTGGATTCCCCTGGAACTGGAGTTAAGGACAGATCATAGCCACCATGTGGGTGCTGGGAATTGAACCCGGGTCCTCTGCAAGACCGGTCAGTGCTCTTAATTGCTGAGCTATCTCTCTAGCCCGTCATCCTGTGTTTTATTTGAAGAACTTAAACTGTTTGTGCTGAAAATAATTATTGATAGGTAAGAACTTATTAATGCCAATGTAATGAAGCCTCCATTGACAAAAAACTAAAAGGACATGTTTTGGAACACTTCTAGAAAGGTGGTATGCCTGGAGAAGCTTATGTGTTCCATACCCTTTCCTGTATGACTCATATGCCTTACCCTGCACAGTTTTTCATCTGTATCCTTTGTAATATCCTTTACATGTAAACATGTGCACCAGAGTTCTAAGAGCCATGGTTAACAACTTAATTGGATCCAAAGAGGCAGTTGTGGGAACTCAATTTATAGCAAGTAAGTCAGAAGCAACAGTCAAGACAACCTGGGGATACTAGCATCCAATGAGTGAGAGGGCAGTCTGAGGCAGTGAACCCTAAACCCGCAGAATGTGATGAATGTGATGCTATTGTCATATAAACAATGTGAGAATCAAGTTGGATTACAGGACACTTAGGTAGTGTTTGCTGGTGCAGAATCCGTTGCTTACTCACTGATACTGAGAAATCTGCATATATTCTGAGCATATAGAAGTTTTCTCTGTTAAGTATTGTGATGTGAGAGCAGGTTTTTTTCCCTTACATAGACCCTGGATATAGAATTCTAGGTTGATGATTTAAGTATTTGAATAATCTTCTGTTTTCTATGGTTTTGTTGAGAAGTGAATTGCCCTTCTTTTCTTCTTTTTCATCCAGTTCCTCTGACTCTTACAATCATTCTGTCCCCTTTTCCACAGTGATCCCTGAGCCTTGGGAGGCAGGAGTTTGAGATAGGTGTCTGATTCAGGTATAAGCAATCTGTAGCCTCTTGTTCTCTGTACATTGGCCGGTTGTGGGTATCTGTGTTAATCATCATCTGTTGCATAAGGAAATGTCTCTGCTGAGAATTAAGAGATGCATAAATCTGTGGGTATAACAATAAATCAGTAGGAGTCAGTTTAATGTGATAACTATTTAGAAGAAAACTAATATTAGGCTCTCCAGTGGCCCTGGCGGCTGTGCCAAAGAAATTGCTTGGAGCTTTCAAGTGACCCGTTTTGCCTAAGAAATCTTGCAAGGAGAGACCTGAAGAATTCTGCAAACATCGTAGTCTTAGCAGTCACACTTAAGAACACTGCAGAAAATGGGACAGCTGCCCCAAGGGTAGGGATGAAAGAGAAGGTGTGCAGATGAGGAGGAGAGAGATTTAGATAGTCTAATCCATAAATATTTTAAATTTAACCAATCTGTACCATATCCCAAATCCAATCTTTCATAGGACATTGGTCATAAAGTATATTATTTATTTATTTATTTATTTATTTATTTATTTATTATTTATTAACAAAAATCTGTATTTTCCACTGGTTCTTTGGTTCCCCCCTGTCTCCTCTCTACCCCCCATGGCTCCCAAATGCCTCTCTTCCTAGCTAGAAGGTATCTGCAACTCTGATGTATGTTGTTGTTTTTTTTATTGATGTGTGTGTGTGTGTGTGTGTGTGTGTGTGTGTGTGTGTGTGTGTGTATTTCATACAGAAAATCTCAGTCAAGCTTAATCTTTATACCCCCTTCCCCACTGGCACCCTTCATTGCCCCCTCCCCACTGGAGTTCATACGTTCTGTCATTTGTCTTAAGGCCTATTTTGTCAAGTTAGTGTTCCCAGATGTCCCTGGGTGCAAGTTCATCTACTGAGGTCTACTCAGCCTATCTAGAGTCTAGAGTCTTGCATTAGGAAGATCAGCTCTTCCTCACTGAACAGTAACCACTTGCCAATATTTCTTCAGCTAAGATTGGGGTCAGTTGTCCATTTCCTCAGTTCTTTTATTCTTTTAATTTTGTGTGAATGTGTGAATTTTGTGTGAATGAGTGTTATGCCTGCATGTGTTTAAGTGCATCCATATCATCACCCATAGCCCTCCCCCTCCCCCAACTGGAGCCCATATACTCTGTCATCCCTGTTACATCCCTGTTACTGTCCACTGTGTTATCAGTGCCCCCAGCCATTACCCAGGGGGATTTCTACCAGTCTTTCATTGAAGGCCTGTGGCTAAGAATATTCAAACGAAGGCATGCTTTCCTCAGGGCAAGGATTCAGTTTTCTGAACTATCATACTAGCTGTACTTTACCTTTAAATTTCTTTAAAATGTGCCTAATTCTCCTGGGTTTGCCTTGTTCTTCCTTTTTTTCCTTTGTTCTGCAAAAGTAATGAAATAGTTTGCATATTCAATTTTAAAGGGGCTTATCACCTTGATTAACTCATTACTTTGATTCTGTTATAGACTCAAAAAAAGTGATTTTATACATTATTTACCTTTTTTTGCTTTCTAGATTTGAAATAGCAGCAGAAATTCATGAATCTTTTAGGATGTATTTGTCTATGTGTATAATGGCTTCTGAGTCCAATGTAAAATTATTTCCTAATATATAGCCAGGTTGGCCTAGAACTTATTCATGTCAACCCAGCCTGATCTCAAACTAAAAATCCTTCTTCCTCTGCCTTCCAAAATTCTGGGTTTATCGGTATATGATTCCATGCCTAGCCAAAGACTGAAAATTTGAAAGACACTTTTTTAGCTAAGTCTTTTTGTAGCCACAATTTTCTTGGAAGTGTGTTGCCCTCCCAGGTAACTATTTCCCTAAACTTAACTCTGTTGTTGTTTTGACTTTGTTATAACTTTTACATATGGATTACTTTAATATTCATTGTTCATAAAAACTTTCTCATATAAAGAAATGGATAAATAGAAAGAATAGTTTTAAAAAACCGACACTTTTCTGGACAAGTTAGGTTTTAAGAAATTATTGTAATTTGTAATTGTTATTCTTCATGGTCCTCAGTGACCCAAAGGAATTAGCTCTTTTCAGAAAATTTTACTTCTATCCCTAAGAAAGTAATTGACTTAGATAATTTGATTGATATACTAAATTTTTCTAATGCTTTTGTTCCAATATTTATATTTTTATTTAGAGTTTTGGAGGCTGGAAAAGCAAGTGTTATTTTACCAAAAAGTTCTCCAAATGGAATAACTCATGTGATTGCCAGTAATGCAAGAATTAATGCTGAGAAAGAAAGAGATAACTTTAAAGCTCCATTTTATCCAATACAGTATTTAGGGGATTTTCTTTTAGAGGTAAGTAAAATAAATATTAGTCATTTTAGAATGTTTATTTTATAAAGTACCAATATAGTGAAATGCAGTCGTTCCTAGGTAGACCTCAGGAGACAGGTTCCAGGCACCTTCTTGGATACCAAAATCTACATATACTCAGCTCTTAAGCCTCTCATGTAAAATGGCATAGGATTCACATCTACATCCATCTTTCCAGATACTTTACATTATCTCTAGATTACTGACAATACTGAACAGCGTAAATAGATGTTCTGTTCTTTATGAAATAATAACAAGAAAATCAGTCTATACATATTCATTACAGATCAGATATAATCATTATAGATCTAATTGGTTTGGTCGAATCCATGAATTTGGAGCATGCAGAAATGAATAGGTGACTGTTAAAATTAAGTTCTTTATTTTGAAAATGCAATAATTTGAAATAATGAAAATGATCTTTTTAAAGGCATTTGTTCTCAATTTGTTACATCTTCAGGAAAGAAAATGTATATTTGGGCGAAATGTAGATTTGAGAGGTTTAAATGTGTCTTTTCAGTCTCTACTGCTCTAAGTGCTTTGGTGGTATCTACTACAAAATGATTTTAAATATTTTATCATCTGAGTATAAGGAAATAGTGGTGAATATATGGCATTATATAGAAATTTCAGGTTACTGCCTTTTTTGAAAAAGAATTTAGAAATACTTTCCTGTCCTAGTCTTCCTCCTTCTCCCTTCTTGGTGTAAATACCAATTCTCAGGTTGTTTGAACAGGGACCAAACCCTAGAGGAAACTCTGATAAGAATTTATGAGTTACTCAAGGTATTAGAGAAACCTCAGTGCATCCAAAAATAACTTTGATGTAGGAAGGATCATAACATCCACCAGTGTGTATCATTCCAGTAGGTACCATCACCTTTTACCTAGCACTTTAGGCCAGAGATATAAAATCTTTAATTCTGCATATCCAGTCACTACAAAATCCTATTGATTCTGTTTCAAATATCTCTTGATTCCAACTGCTTCTCTCTTTTTCTGTTAGCATCATCACCTTTTCTCTGTGTTCCTAGAACAGACTAATTACTTTTCCTGGTATTTTACCTTTTTATTCTTACTGATTTCCTAATTATTTTACCTTTTTCATTTTCATTTGTGTGCTAGCTCATTCCAAAAGAGCAACCAAAGTGGGCATGTTGGAATACATCTGTAATTTCATTTTCAAAAGGCTAAAACAAAAGCATCCAGATCAGCCTGGGTGACATAGAGAAACCCTGTGTCAACAGATCAAAACAAAAAACAAAGTAAGCAAAATGATCTTTGTAAAGGAATTCTGATCCTTTGCAAGATAAAACCCTTCAAAAGCTTCCTGTTATCCTGAATTCTTAAATTCTAACATATTTTACAAAGTCCCACTGGATTTCTGACACTCCCTTCTTTTGAACTATCTGCTGGTCTTCTTTTTACCTGAGTATTAATGCTGTAACCAAGTTACCTTTCTCAAGTTTCTTAGACTAAGCTGAGGTGCTTTCCATCTCAGTATCTTCCCAAAACATAATTTTCCCTGCCTGAAAGTGTCTTCTACATCACTATTCCCTGTGCCTTCCTGCTTTCTGTTCATTGTTCAGGGTTCCATTACTAAAACGCTGCCTCTTCAAGGATGCTCCCTCACCTCTTCATTGGGTTAAATTCATCTGGAGTGTATTTTTATAGTTACTTATTTCATAATGCTCACTACAATTGTAATTAACTGACTGATAATTTGATTGTCATTTTCCTGTCCAAACCAAAAGCTCTTTAGCATCAAGGATTATCTTTTCTTTTCCATAATTGTATCCCAATCATCTAACAAAAAACATGGAAAATGTACTCTCCTTTCATACTCATTAGATTAAGAAAAATCAGGAAAGCCGTTTGAGTCTTCTTAGAGTAGACATGTTTTATTTTGCTATAGTCTCCTTTCCCTGGTGGGGAGCAGCAACATAGATAGGAAATTTGGATTATGGAATATGTCCTTGTCCTTGACAGGTTGTTGAAGGAATGAGCGTGTGAATTTATTTAGGTCTGTGGGACATGATGAGACATATGAGAGGTAGAATACTTCCTCATTCTTAACAAAGCAAACAAAAAGCAGTACCACTGATGGACTTGCCCTTCTAATCATAAACATGGAAGAACTCTTTACTAGTAACCATTCTTTGAGCATGAGGAATACTAGCCTTGATATAAGTAAAGCCTTACAGAAAACAGAGCCTTGCAATAGACTCTGGACCTCTAAAGTATCTATGGCAGCAAACACCTGTAATTCCAACACTCGATGGGATGAAGCCAAAGGATCATGACTTCCAGGCTAACCTGGGCTGCGTAACCAGAATGTGTCTCAAACAAAAACAGAAAAATCCTTGCTCATACTAAACTGATATTTTTGTTGAATTATTACTGTATCAAAGAGTTTGCTTCTCTTGAGACATCCAGAAATCACTTTGTTATTTTGAAAATTTGCTATAATTATTGGTTCCATGAAAGATTTACTAGTATTTAATAACCTTTGTTTCAGGAAGGCTTGTTTAACTAAGAAAGTATTGTGCAATTATATTTTAAATTGAATATAATAAATAATATGTGTATAACATTATAATTAATCGCTTAAACTTTTTATTTACATACAGAAAGAAATTCAGAATGATGAAAATTCCCATACCAGTTCTGGTTGGACCAAACATAGCACTGAAGGGAAAAACAAAGATTTCAAGAAAGATACAGTATTTCTTGAAATGAAAGGTGCTTTAGGAGAGACCATATATAGAACCCAGGTAAAATTTCATATACTAAAGCATTCTTTTCTGATTTTCCCCCCCCATAATGGAAAGAGCCCATTCTTGGTAGAAATCACATTTTTTTTGGTCTTTTTGAGACAAGGTCTCCCTGTAGCCCAGCTGACCTGGCCCTTGCTGTGGAGTACTGGTATTAAAGGCACACACCACCACATCCTGCTAGAAATAACACAAATTTTAGAATATAAAAGCTGGAATTTGAGCCCTATGTCTTTTTAGCCGATTCATTGGACCTGTTAGAAAATTATTTTAGGTGTGTTTTGGGCCTCTTGTTGAAATGATTCATATGTGCATACAGAAATGTAGAGTTCCTCACTTGCAGTATATCTTTAATACATGCTGATTAGTTAAAACTCCTCTGTATGTTCAATGTAACTTGTGTGTCTTATAAACATTTCTTTATCTGTGAGCACTCAATTCATAAGTAGTCTAAAGTCAAGTATTTAACTTACATCTATACAATAGAACAAAAAAAATTTTAAACAAATTAATTTTTATTAACATGGAAAACCAGGAAGATGGAGAAGGAAGACTTTGACTCTTATGCAATATTTCAGACATTAGTAGTGACCACAAAAAATGGCCTATTGATTCTACTGTAGAAGAGCTAATGTTCAGTTTCATATAGGGTTTTAGAAATCTGTTTTAATTTATCAGATCACCAATTCAATAATTATTAGTCTAAATAAAAACATTTTTATTTGTAAGTAAAAAGACATTTTCATTCTAGGAACAATTTGGAAATTTTTTAATTCCATAGTTTCTTAAGAATTCATATAGGGCAAGTTTAGCTAAAGTTTAACGAGCTTAAAATACTTTAGCCTTTTGTCCGACCTTTCCTTAGTACCATGGTATTATGTGCCCTTTAATCTGCCTGTGATCACTTGTGCATGTTTCAGTAAGAAGCTTTTTAAAGGGATGTATCTGATGAAATAGGCATACTAAACCATCATAGTATGGGGATTTTTACATGCAGGAGGAATGGAAATAATGATGAAGTTATCAAAATAAATTTAGTTTTGCAAAACATAAGAGAGATAGTTCTGTGAAAGATGAAAATGATTGGAACACATATTAGGAAGACTATATGAGATTCATAGAGAAAGTTCTCATAGTTCAAATGAACTTACTATAGTGAGTAAACAAAATGGTTACTGTGAACTAAATGTATAGCTTAACCAGGTGCAAGTCATAACTAAACATTTATAAAACATCATGAATGAAAGCATGTTCTTTGCTTTTCTCTTAGTGTAACTGATGGATATGAAAATTCACTTCACTGTATTTAATCTCATCTATGTTTTATAAAACTTAACGTCTTGAGGTTTTCTGTTGTGATTTGCAATAGTTGGTTTGACGGGGATTATTTGTGGGGTTTTGTTGTCATTTTTTGTCTTTTTGAGACAGGGTCTCCCTGTAGTCCCAGCTGGCCTAAATCCCCTATGTAGACCAGGCTGGCCTCGATTTCACTGAGATCTCTCTACCCGCCTCTGCCTCTCATAGTTAATTTTCATCCATAATGCTGGGGTTAAAGGTGTGTACCACCACACTTGGCTGCAGTAATTGATTTGAGACTGTATTTAATCGGTAGTCCAATTAATTTAAAATATTTTTTTACTTGTATTTACTATGTGTATGCCTGCATGTGTGTAAGTGTACCCACATCATGCAATGCTCACAGAGGTCAGAAAAGGGCATTGGAGCCCCTGGAACTGGAGTTACAGACAGTTGTTAGCTGCCATGTGGGTGCTGGGATTCGAACCTGGCTCTTCTGGAAGAACAGCCAGTGTTAACTGCTGAGCCATCTTTCCAGCCCCTTATTATTTTTTAATCTTAATTTATGTGTATGAGTGTATTGCCTGCATGTGTGTAAGTGCACCCATGTTGTGCAGTGCCCATGCAGGTCAGAAGAGGGTGTCGGATCCCCTGGAACTGGAGTTCTAGATGGTCATTAACTGGAGCCAACTATCCAGCCCTCTTAATTAATTTTATAAACTTGCAGAAAGAAATGGAAAATCATGATAACGATGTTAATGATAGATTTGTTTTGAGTAAACATCATAAAAAAGAAAAATTCAGAGACTCCAGGAAAGATTTGAAATTTGTTAAAATGAGAAATACATTCAGAAGACATGCACATGGAAACCAGGTAAATTTTCACAAATAAAAGTGATTCAGTTTGTCATATAAATCTTTTCTAAAGTTAGTTAATATGAGTTATGAAACTTCTTATAAAATAGATGTACAGAAGTATTTATGAGCCATTTATGTAACATTTTAAAAGGCACAAAAATTACTTATATATATTTGTTAGCCTGTTAACCAGATAAAGAATCAGCATTATCATTTTTAAGACACTAAATCATTTCCTGTTTCTTCTTCTATGCACCCAGAAGTATCCCTTATTTTTACAATTTGTGCTATTTTCTTGCTTTTCCTTATAATTTAACCAGATGAATGAATCCCAAACAGTAGTTTTGCCTGTTAAGAAACATTTTATAATTCATATTATTTATAGACATTTTTCTCATATATTTTTTTTGTCTGATTGCTACAATTATGTATTTTTATCCACTTTTTTATTAAGCATTTGTGTTTCTTTTTGTTCCTTTATATTTTTGTTTGTTCTTTTGAGATTATCAATAGTTCTGCTATTAACTGTGAACATTCTCTTATGTGACTCTTGGTACATATGTTTAGGGATTCCTCTAGCTGAGGGTGGTCTTAGAAATGCAGTTATTGGTCATGAGGACAATATATGTTAAACTTACTCTATAATGCTTAGCTGTTTTCCCAGAGTTTTTACTCCATTAAGGAGATGTCTTTTCCTGTGACATAACAGTTCTATTTTTTTTAATATGGTATGCTTTGGTTTTAAGTCACTTTCTTTTAGTTTATTTGGATTTTGTAACAATTCATATTGTGATTTCCTTAATTGTGGTCAAAATGAAGAAAGAAACTAAGAAAAAAGATAAAGATATCCAAAGAAGTTATATTTTGAGGAAAAAAAGCAAAAAAGAAGGTCATTGTAGGAATGATGATCATCATGACATGATTAAAAGTTCAAGAAAACATGTACACTGCAGAGAGCAGGTAAGACTAGTTTCCTTTTACTTGTTCTTGTATAATCTAGACAGATATTCTTATTTTTAAAATCACTTGCTGTGTTAAATATATTCTGTTTATCTTAGGTTAGCCTCTTGATTGGGTATAATATTTATAGTTAACTTTATAGTTAACTTTGATTCATAAAAAAATATTTTCATATGAATATATAAGGCAATTTGAGTTAATGATCATGACAAGTTAGTTTTATTTTTCATAAAATGAACAAAATGAAAATCAACTCTGGAAGAAGGCTAAATTTCTTAAAATAGAAAACCTACTATGTAGTTTGGGTAATATATTCAAATTAAATTTTATTTTTAATATTGTATTGATTTGTATTTGTGAGTATGAATGTTTTTTATGCCTGTGTGTAAGTACACCACATGCATACAATTCCTGCAGAGACCAGAAGAGGGTGTTGGATCCCCTGGAATTGGAATCATTTTCTGTTGTTAGCTACCATGTGGGTGCTAGGAATCGAACCTGGGTACTCTGCAAGAGCATTAAGAGCATTAAGTGCCCTTAACCACTGAGCCATCTCTCTAGCCCCTTTAAGTTTTATTTTTAATCTTGGTCTTCTCTGATATAATATAGAATTTATAAGAAAATAATTTGTCTTTTAAATGGGATTCGT